AGGGGTGCTCTGGAGGCCGCGGGGGGCCTCCTTGGAAATCCTGGGGGCACCGTGGGCCAGGGGCACTTCTGGCACCACCCGAGGGGGAGGACGGAGAGGAAGAGGAGGGGAGGGCGAGGCAAAACAAGCGCCGATGTCGCCCGGAGGGCGTCCGGGGTAGGAAACGGCAGGTGCGCCTGGCCGCCTCAGTTACCCCTGCAAACATACACACGCATTCGATATTCCTCCACAGCTCGCCTTCGCCCGTACGTGCTTCCCAACTCTCATCCATATGACAACATCTCGCAGCCGAACAACAAAGTCGTCGAGCCATGGCAACCGTGGGCGTTGTGGCAGTCTCCTGGCGCACGTATTGCAGCAACGTGGGTACCACATCGGCGCTGTCCAGCTCCATTTGTGCTGTTTCGTGTGCCACTTTAGATCACAGCGCAATTTCTGCGGCCGGTGATTTGTAACCCAATTCTCGTAGCAAATTTGACCATTCTAGTTGGTTACATGTGTACATGCTCATGCATGCACACACATACATACTTACACACGTGTGTACACATATGTGTATATTTATATATACACTAGAACCATCGCGCGCGCTTCGCGCGCGCTCAGGTTCTAGCCCAGGCCGGAGGCGCGCTAGAAGATCTTCGACAGCGCTATCAAGCACAGGCGCGTGACATAGTCGTGCCGCCTGAGGGCCTCTTGGGAACCTCTTGGGTCTTCGTGGGGGCATCTGAAGGGCTTCTGGGGGGTTCTCCGTGCTTCCTCAATTGGCTGTTGGAGGCACCTCTTGGGTTGGGTGCTTCTCGGGGGGGCATCTTGGGGTCCCTTCGGGGCATCGTCAGGGTTCTCCGGGCAGTCGGAAAGTGATGCTCTGCAGTCTGAAGCAATCAATTGGCCGTCTTGGCTGCGTGGAGGCCCAGCTTGAGGCCACACTGGGGCAATCCAGAAGCCTCCTGGGGCCTCCTTGATGATGCATCGAGAGCACTGTTCGGCTATCTTGGGGCCCCGTGTACATCTCCTGTGAGCCTTTTGGGGCCTGGTGGGGGGCTTTGGGGGGCCTCGTCGGACCACTTGAGGACTCTTAGGGGCCTCCTGCGGGCCTCTTAGGGCGGAAAGCTCTGCCGTTGGGTTCGCGTTCCCCTTCTTGGGGCTCTCTTGGGGCCCTCTCGGGCCGTCTTGGGCGCCTCGGGCACCGTCTTGGGGCCCTCGTGTGCCGTCTTGGGGCCCTCTTCGGCTATCTTGGAGCGGCCGTGGGGGCCACTTGGGCCATCTTGGAGCGTCGGGATGCCAAAAGGCTGGGAACTTTTAAATCCATCAAAAACCGATGGGAAAACAATGCTTCTTGGAACCTCTTTGGCCTTCTGGGGAGCTTCTTGAGGGCCTCTTGGGTCCCAGTTGGGGGCCTCTGGGGCTTCCTGAGAGCCTCTCGGGGTGGAAGGCTAGGATTTTCGGTTCGTCTTACCCCTCTTAGGCCCCCCATTGCGGCCGTATTGGTGCCCTCTCGGGCTGTCTTGGGCCCTGTTGGAGGCCTCTTGGGCTATCTTGGATTGGTCTTGGAGGCCTTTTGGGTGGGCCGTCTTGGAGCGTCAGGACGCCAAAAGGCTGAGAACTCTAACATCAATCAAACACCTATGGCGAGACATGGATTTTTATCTCTTGGGGCCTTCGTGGGAGGCCTCTTGGATACTCTTCGGCCCCCTGGGGGGCTTCTTGGGGCCTCTTGGAGCCTGTTAGGGGCTTCTCGGGGCCTTTTGAGAGCCTCTCGGGGTGGAAGACTAGGATTTTCGGTTCGTGTCAACCCTCTTGGCTCCATCTTGGGGCCGTCTTGGGGCCCTCTCGGGCCGCCTTGGGCGCCTCTGGCGCCGTCTTGGGAACCCCGTGGGCTGTCTTGTGACTGTCTTCGAGGCCTCTGGGGATGCCTCAGAGCGGAAATTAAAGCCTCTTGGGCCGTCGTGGAGCGTCAGGAAACTCAAAAGGCGAGAACTCGAAAATCGATCAAAAACCAAAGGAAAACATATTAGTTGTGTCTCCTGGGGATCCTTGGGAGCCATCTTGGAGACCTCTTGGGGCGTCTTGGAAGCCTCTTGGACAGTCAGGGACCAATTCTGGGGTGATCTCGGGCGGTCATTGGTCGTTTTCGTTGTCTGGAAACGCGCAGTCTTCGGGCGACTTTACAAGGCCCCCAGCGCCACGGCAGGGCCCCCGGGCCCCCCGGTGCGAGGGCCCCGTCCAGGGCCCCGCCTCGTGCCCGCGGCAGGGCGTCCCTGGGCCGTCTCGGCGCCCTCGTGGGGGCCTGTTGGGGCGACATTGGGTGTCTGAAATCCATCAAAAACCTAAGTACAATCAATGATTTTGGCGTCCTTTAGGCTGTGTTGGAAGCCTTGTGGGCCGTCCGGAGGCCATCTTGGGCGTGTTCGAACGATATGTCCTCGTTTCGGGGTCTCTTGGGGGCCTCTTGCGGCCCTTTTCGTCTGCGTTGGGGCTTTCTCGGGCCGTCTGGGGGGGGCCCTGGGCTGTCTCGGCGCCCTCTTGGAAGCCTGTTTGGAAGATTTCTGGGTGTCCTGGACCGTCCTCCTTCAACGTCGGCGGCACTGGCCGTAAGACTTCCTGGGAACATGATTTGTTAGGGTGTCGTTGGGCGCCTCCGGAAGCTTCGGGGCCTGACGCGTTTCCGAGCGTGGCGGCAGGTAGCGCTGCTTGGGACTCTCGTTTTTTATCCTGGCAGGCGTTTATAAACATGGTTTGGGGAGAGGGCACCAACCCGAGAATCATGTTCGGGTGAAGCTTTCTGGGAGCATGATTTGTTCGGCTCTCTCAAGAGGGGGGGCTCTGAGGTCTTACCGAGGAGCCCTTTTTGGCCTTGTCGGCAAACCTATTGGAAACATGGTTGGGGCGGTGGGCGGAAATCCAAGGAATCGTGTTCCCGGAAAACTCTGGGAAATACGATTTACCGAGGTCTCTTGGGGGCCCGCAGGGGGCTTCCCTGGGGGGCCCGTGGGGGCTTATTTGGGCTTCTGGGGGGCCTCTTGGAGCCTCACGGGGCTTCTTGGGAACCTCTTGATGGCCTCCGGGGGCGTCCTAGGAGCCTCTCAGGCCGGAGACCTTGAAATGTCGCGCTCTTCGGGCCCTCTTGGGTCGCTCTTGGGGCTCTCTTGGGGCGCTCTCGAGGCCCTCTTGAATTATCTGGGCAGCCTCCTGGGCCGTCTCTGGTCTTTCCTTGGGAGCCTCTTCGGCCGTCTTGGAGCGATCTGGAGGGCCTCTGACGCCGTCCGGGACCGTAGGGAGGCGGAACATGCGAGAGCGCAAACATGCGGGGCCTTTTGGAAGAGCCTCTGAAGGCGCTCTTGGGGCGTTTTGGCGGCGTCGTCGGCCGTCCTGAGGCCATCTTCGGCGTGTCCGGGGCCTCTTGGGGCTGTCTTGGCAATCTTTAGGGCCCTCTTGGCGTGTCGTGGCGTGTTTGGGAGCGGGCCCGGGCAGTCCTGGAAGCCCTGGGGGCTGTTGAATGCTAGGTGTTGTCTTGGAGGCGGAGGCCGTTGAGTGCAGGGTGGCGCGTGCTACGCGGAAGGCGGGCGAGCGGCCGGGCGGGCGGCGGGCGGGCGGGTGGCGGGCGGGCGGGCGGGCGGGTCGGGATTTCCATTCCTTGAGGGTGCTCTCTTGCAGAGGGAGCTTGTTGAGTACAGGGGGTTTCTCTGAAGACGGGGGCTGTTGACTACAGGGTGTTGTCTTGGAGACTGAAGCTGTTGAGTACAGAATGGTGCGTGCTACGCGGACGGCGGGCGTCTGGCGGGTGCCCTAGGTGGTGGGTCAGAGGCCTCATGGGTGTTGGTTTGGACCTCGTGGTTGGCCTGTCGGGAACGTCGTGAAGGCAATTTCGCAGCTTCTCGGTAGCCATTTTGAGACCGTTGTGGGATCTCCTCGGGGCTGTTTTGTGGCCTCTTGAGGCCTTGTTTGGGTCTCCTGGGTGCCTCTCGGGGGCCTCCTGGGGCCTCTGGGGGGGCTCCTTTGGGCCTCCTGGGGCACTCTTCAAGCGGGAGGGTCGAATTTGGGAGTCGTGGTCCCCCTCTTGGGCGCATCTTGAGGCCGTCTTGGGGCTCTCTCGGGCGCCTCTGGGGCCGTCTGGGGGCCCTCTTGGGCTGTCTTGGGGCGCCCTTGGGGGCCTATGGAGCCGGCCTGGAACGTCGGACAGCCGAAAAGGCTGGAAGGCCAACATCTCTCCAAAACCTAAGCAAAATTGACGATTTTGGTCTCTTGAAGCGCTCGGGAGAGGCGTCTTGAAACGTCGTAGAGTGCCTTGGGGGGGCTTCTCGGGCCGTCTTGGGCCTATCTTGGGCGTCCAGGAGCAGTCTTTCGGCGACTCGGGGCCCGCTTGGGCCGTCTGGGGAGCCTCTGGAGGCCCTCCTGGAGTATTTTGGACCTGGCCGGCCGCCCCGTCCTGCCATGGGGGGCCGGGGCAGCTGTTTGTGGGCCCCAGGCCTGCCCCCCAGGGATATACATATATCTATCTATCTATCTATCTATCGATCTATCTATCTATCTATCTATCTATCTATATATCTATATCTATCTATCTATCTATCTATCTATCTATCTATTTATCTATATATATGTATATATATATCTATCTATATATATATATATATATATCTAGCTATCTATCTATATATACATATATCTATATGTCTATCTATCTATCTATATATATATATATATATATATATCTATATATCTATCTATCTATCTATCTATATATACCTATATATGTATACATATATATATCTATATCTATCTATCTATCTATATATATCTATCTATCAATATATATATATATATCTATCTATTTATCTATCTCTATATATATATAGCTATCTATCTATATATCTATCTATCTATCTATCTATCTATCTATCCATATATATATATATGTCTCTATCTATATGTATATACATTTATATATGTATATATCGATATATCTATCTATCTATCTATATATATATATATATATATCTAACTATATTTATATTTATATATATGGCTATCGACCATCTATCTATCTATCTATCTATATATCTATCTATCTATCTATCTATATGTATGCATGAATTTATGCATATCGCTATGTATACACAATCCGCGTGGGTGGTGATGCCTCGCTCCCGCCAAGCTGGACTCTTCAAACACTCGTTTCAGCCGCATACCCTGGACTTTTTTCCAGAGGGTCCCTCCTAGATTTCTGGGCCTCCTGGACGTCCCTGCTATACCTAGCCAGCGGGCACAACGCGGCGGGGAGGGATGCCAATGGACCCCGCAAGAGTCCCAAGCGGCCCAGGACACTACCAAGCACTCGAAGATGGCCCAAAGAACGCAAACACGAGGAGGCCTTCCAACCGAGATAAACATGGATTTTCGTATTGTGTTCGAGTGATTGTTAATTAGATGCTCGGTTCTTCGGTCTTCAACGCGTCCGAGACAGTCGAGGAGGAACCGAAAATCACGCAAGACTACTCCGAGAGAGCCCCACGACTGCCCAACAAGGCCCGAAGATAGCCACATGACGGCCTGAGATGGATGGCCCCAAGACGCCCTCTGAAACACTCCAAATCGTGACCGTGTCGTTGAGGGAGACCGTGGTTCGCAGCAAGGTGGCCCGAGGAAGCTCCCAGAGGGCTCAAAAGGCGCTCAAAAGACTTCCAGAAATCCGCAAGAAGCCCCTGATACGGCTTCGAGGGGTCCCCGAGAGGCCTTCCACGGGATGAGCGCATGCAAACAAAAGCACTGAGGATGACGCGGCAGGGTTCGCAGTGGAAGGCGAGACCGAGGAAGAGGAACAGTAAATATGAGGGAAGCCGCAGGAACATCCAATTATACCGACGACGATGCCGACGACGACAAAAACGGCACCAATGCATTGTCGCTGTCTTTACTTGTCTATCTATCTCTCATTCCACCAACAGGCCGACATTGAAGGACGAAGGTGCATGGCGCGAAGTGCCAATGCAGTTATGCATACACATGCAGAATCATACCTACTCCACCGTATGTGTTGTTCTTTTGACCTAGTCGTGCCATGGTTCGAGGTACGCGTCAGCAGTACCAACTGAACTGGAAAGTGGAAGTGTGGAATGTGTTTTCGGTGCAACTGTCGCTCTCCGTTTGCAATGCTGTGGTGCCGCTTTCTCTGCCATCATCGTTAAAACTGACGCCGGGACGTATACGTAACACTATACGTAACATCCGGCGCTGGGCCGTCGGATTTCTGCGCTACGCGTCTGTCGCACCACCAACGTCGTTGAATAGGCGCAGCCAGTCGTGTAGTGAGCACACCTCAATGGTAAACGCCTGCTTGAACCATCCAAGCTTTTCTGAGCAGCCTTTGTCCAAGATCCTCTCTCTACCTCATCTCTTCCACATCATGTAATACATGCGCCTAGATACTGGTCTTCCCCAGAACATGAAAATCATGACTTCGATTTTCGGTGCATCAGCGTCCGCGATGTCCATCGTAGCGCGTAGTGTTCAGTACCCAGTGACAAAACTGGTGTAGTATCTCAATTCTTCGGGGTGCATCTCCAGCACGTCGGATATCCTCCGCTTGTCAGTGTCACCGAACTCCAATTCGCCGCACATCATCAGCGCATATGAGGTTGGTGAGTGCTGGTCGGAGAGCCCATGACAACTTAATGTCGCACTTGCATTGTGACCATTTCGGGCTGATGTCTTGGAATATGTGCTGCGAAAGGCTGTAAAACAACCGCGAGCTCAACAGATCCCCCTGTTTCGTCCCCCATGCAATGCGGAAGTCTCGGCTCAATACTCCAAAATCCATTATTTATCGTCCCCTGGGTTCGGTTATCTAAGGCGCCTTTTTTGTAACTGGGGGGGTCCGGTTCATTAGGGCGCTTTCTTTGGATTGGAGCCTAGGAGGTCCGGCTTACTAACCTATTGCAACCACATGGATCTATTGCACCACTCCTTTGTCTTAGGTCGGGCGTGTCCCCCTACAGGCGGATTTTGGACGAAAAGTAAGAAATACTTCAAACATCTTCAAACATTGTCCCCTGACCATTCTTTGACAACTTTTTGAACACTCCTTCTGTCGAGTGACAGGCCCGACTCAAAACCTTTGTCGCTGGACAACCCTTTCGGGTCAACCGGATGAGCGCGAGGGTGCCGGCCCAGCTCTCGGGCCTGCCCTGAGATCCGGCGTCGCGCACACGTGTCAGCAGCGGGAAGCATCACGACTGGAGCCCTGGGCCCAAGCCTTCTGCGGCACTTGTCGGGCCCCTGCTGATCCGTGAGGGCCCCTGGGCCCGAAGCAACACAGAATGGCCCGTTGTGAAAAGCTGCGACGCCAAGATTTCGGACGTCCCTGAAATCTTGACGTCCGAATTCGACGTCCTTGATTTGTTTTTGATTGCGCGGTCCTCGGGAAACCCGAGGTGATTTTTTTCACGGCCCTGGCGCCCTTTGAGGGCGCCCGGAGGCCGAAGTCGGGCAAAAACCTCCCGTCCTGTTTCGGGGGTTGCTGAAAGTGTCCCTGGCCCAAGGTGCCCCCGGCTATTCGTTCCATTCTGGAGCCCCTGCGGCCCTCTGGGCCTCGTGATGGGGTGCTCTGGCGGCCGTGGGGGCCCTGGGGGGCACCTTGGGCCTAGCAACACCAGTTGTTCCTTGATTGTTTTAAGCGAGTTATATATGAGAAGCAAGTGTAACGATGTTTTCTAAAACGGCGAGAGCATACATGTCTGGTAGGTTTGCGGATGCCACGACAATGGACACCCTAACAGTTCTATCATTGAATTTTAAATGTGGCTAACATGTAGGACAACAGTACTAAGCATGTTTTTAACATGTTTTACATGAAACATGTTTAACACATGTTTTAGACATCTGGGAATTATTTGGCAACATGCTTCCTCTCGATTGATCGTCCTCCACAATGGTAGGCCTCCCCCCGCGGCCCGCCGCCTGGCGCGATCTCGGGGGCCTCGCCGTCGTCGTCGTCGTCGTCGTCGCCGATGTGAAACGACTCGGCGACGGGCGCGCCGTCCGCCTGCGGGGAGGGCGCCGCTCCCACGCAAGCGCTCCGATCTGGGATCTCAGGACTCCTCCTCCCCCGCCTCCTCATCCTCCTCCTCCTCCTCCTCCTCCTCCTCCTCCTCCCCCCCCTCCTCCTCCTCCTTCTCCTCTCCTTCCTCCTCCTCCTCCTCCTCCTCCTCCTCCTCCTCCACTTCCTCCTCCTCCTCCTCCTCTCCTCACTCCTCCTCCTCCTCCTCCTCCTCCACCTCCTCCTTCTCCTCCTCTCCTCCCCTCCTCCTCCTCCTCCTCCTCCCTCCTCCTCCTCCTCCTCCTCCTCCTCCTCCTCCTCTCCTCTCCTCCCCCCTCCCTCCTCCCCCCCTCCTCCCCCCTCCTTCTCCTCCTCCTCCCCCTCCTCCCCCTCCTCCCCTCCTCCTCCTCCTCCTCTCCTCCTCCTCCTCCTCCTCCTCCCCTCACCCAGGGGAAGGGTCAGGAGTAGGAGCAAGGAAAGGCGACACCAACACCACCAGGGCGAAAAGATGCGGGAAGCGAGGGGGGGTCTTCCTGATGGTGTGGCCCCCCCCCCCTCTCGCTCGAGACATCCCCAGCCTTCAGCTCGGGGATGTAATTATCGTGGGCCTCCTGGCTGGAGGTGGCCCCCCTGGTGGTGTTGGTGTCGCTTCTCCTCTCTCGGACAGGAGGCACTCCCGTAACATTGGTTGGCAACGATTGAGCTCGACGAAGAGGCCCTAGCGCCGGAATGAGCTGGACTGAACATGGGATTAAACCCAGGGCTCGAACTGGGGACACAATCGCTCGAGACGTTCTCGGAGCATGACTCGGGTCCCCGAGCCGCGTGGTTACCCCTAATCTAATCCCTACTGGCTCACCACGGCGATGTCCTGGTTGTATTATATGCGGTCTCCAATGTTTCATCTCGGGCTCTTTTTTGACGCACCTGGGGCCCGGCGACGGCCCCTGGATGGTGAAATCGGCCCAAAACCTTCCGCTCGGATCTTTTTACACGACCCGGTGTGAAGGAAAACAGTGCGGCCTGGGAAAGAGGACGCGTCGAAGTGTGGCGCCCCCCGGGCTCAAGAGGAGACGGAGGAAAAGAAAGAGGAGGAAGAGAAGGAGGAGGAGGAGGTGGAGGAGGTGGAGGAGGCCAAGGAGGAGGAGCAGCAGCAGGATGAGGAGCAGGAGCAGGATGAGGAGCAGGAGCAGGAGGAGAACGAGGAGGAGGAGGGGGAGGAGGAGCAGGATAATAATACTAATAAGAATAATAAGGCGAACAATAAGAAGACGACACATCATGATAACAATGATAAAGATACGAGTAGTACTAAAAATACTAAGACGATTAATAAGAACAACAGCGGCGCACTCTCTCGGTGACCGAGGCCATTCCCACTTCATACGCATATGCCGAATGCGGATTCGGCCGAGTCGAAACGCTGGTGGCCTCAACGTATGGGCACAACTCTCTCGGCAGGCACAATGCAACCAATCTCCTACCTGTGGGGGTCGTCCGCACACGTGGGCTCCTAAGCTTCAGTTTGCGACGTTGCTGTGCCCAGGCTCCACACTGCATGCGCACAAAGACTGGCTTTTCAACAGAGCCTGCTGCTGCCTGACAACGCTGACCTGACTGATGCACGGCCACAAATCCGTGGCCAGTGGGCTGCAACATAGACTGTCTCCAAAACACGGGAGTGCCGCGGCAGCCTGCGAAAGGCCAGTCTTCACAATCGTCCTCAAGGATGGCCAGGCACGCGCGGCACTGCACTCCGATATCCGTCCTCACCCAGTCGTTCCCCCCCTCCCGCCTCACGTTGCGACAACGCCGAAATATGGGCAGACGTTTCCATCTCTCCTCCTGCTCGAAAGAAAGGACGGCGGCGAGGCGGACGTAGAGAAAGGTCCTCAACTCTTGCTCCCCCGCCCTCTGGCAAAACTCGGGCGTTGGTGCTGGGTGAGCAGCCACAGCGCGCTTATTGAACACATCTGCGGCAATGTTGCCGTCATCAGAGCGTCGCTACTCAGAGCTCAACTGCTCGTGCTCCCTTCCACTGCAATGTGCTTTCAAGTGCTCAGCTTCCTGCCAAAACTGGTGTCCAAGAAGACTGTTGCCGAACACCTGCACACGTGCATGCGCACTGCGATCTACTCACCGCTGCTCACGTGTCTGTTTGGCAGCACGGACGGCACCTAAATAGTCGAAGTGCATGGTGGTGGGCCTGTCAGCGACCTGGCTCGCGTACGCGCGCCCCATGCATTCTGCCGCGACAGACGTCTGAAGCATCGCAGGCGGCACCGCCCCATGCACTGCCACGAGCGGGTCTGGGCCATCTGGATCAAGAAACACTATCGCCCAACCAGCGCGATACACTTCAGTCAAAGCAGACTCGGAAAACGATCCATCAGCTGCGTGCTGGATCGCTTGCGCCTGAGGACGCGCTCCCTGAACCATCTCCTCGGGACCGATACCAATCGGAGAGCCATCCATGTTGACCACGAGAGACTGCACGCCTGACGCCATCGCAGGAGAACCGTTTTCCAAATCCATAAACGAACCATTCTGGAATACTGTATCCGCACCCTGCTCGATCCCAAGGTGAATGAAACAGGCAGGCACGTCCGACTCTTGGCGAGCTGCCACGACGTCGTCGTGTCGTGTCAGCCTCGCCGCAGTCGCGCTTCCCGTTGGTTTCGTGCCCGCGTAGCCGCGCGCGCTCGCGAGTCCAGTATCCACCTGCAGCAAACGATTTGACCAAGAAATTGTGATATGTTGATCGCTTCCTGTTCTTCGCACGGACAACAAGGCTTCGACAGATCAAACGTCATGCGTGTACCAGCTGGCTGCCCACGTCGCTCTGCCAATGCTAAAACATGGTTGCGCTGTAGACCTTGAGGCATCACGATATCCAACACGCCGGGTTTAACTGCAACGGTGGGATATCCATTCCTCGGTGATCTCGCCATGTGCACCAATCAACGATTGACCAATCGACACGTCGGACACAAAGTGCATGGCGCTCAAGAGGACCGCGCGATAACTTCTAACACAAATCGTTGATACCCCATCCTCGCAACGCCTGGGCCCACCATGACTGCAACAGCTCAAGAGAAACGCGTGCATCTGCTGGCCGCGTGACTGCGATCCACAGCATGCGGGGCCACTGCAGCGCAGAAACTAAAGCCTGCCTGGTCGTTGGATTGTCGTAAGTGAACCCTTGACTTGCACCAGTGCGGAATACCTTCCCGCCGCGGGCTTCTCTCTGGACTGGTGCTGCGCGATTTTCTCAACGTGGCTTGTTGATTCTGGCTTTGAACCGCAAGTGTCGACTCTTCCGCTTGGAACGAGCATTAGGTACTGCGCGCATTCGACCACCGGCAAGACCAGTCCCAAAGTAATGTGTTGACCTCTTACCAGCTTGCGTTTGCAAACCAAGCCTCTCCGCAACAATATGGCCAACACCATTGCCAGAACGCGCAGTAGCCGTCTTATCATTGAAAGCCGCACCGAGCCGCGGGGCCGTCCTCTGAGAGTCAGCTCCTGAACGTGTCGCCAGCTCAATGAGTTGCTCATTCGTATCGGCCTCGGTGCCAATGCTGCTGTCGCCGTGTATGCATTCACTGCAGGGGGACCTCTCGCAGCGCGCGCCAGCGCGCGACTGCGGCGTCGTAGGGGTCTCACCCGCCGCGGGGCAGATCACGCGTTGAAAAAAACAAATTTTATGATTGAAGGCGGTGCGTGGAACGTGCAGAACGACTCACGCACTTCGCGCAGATCCATCGTTTCGTAGTGCTTGCTGGAGTCTGCGATGGCCTGCAGGCTCTTGCGCTCGTTGTGGGCGCGTGCTTCTGGGCGTGCTGACATTTGCCGTGCTGGCTCGACTGCCGAACGACCACTTGCAGCTCTACAGTGCACCCTGCACAACTCGCGCTGGAGTGGGTCGAGAGCTGGCCGTCGCAGCCGCTGCCGCGCGCGGTAAACTGACGCGCGCAAAACTATGAGCCGATGCCCCCCCTGCGGCTTGGGGAGCAGCGGCATCGAAATCCAGAATCTCCACTTTGGTGGCGCGCCCAAGGGTTCGAAAGCATCGAACAGGGTGTTGAACACAAAAAAGACTGGGGCCACTCAGCAATAGCAAATGCCGAAGATGAGTTCCACCCAATCTACCCGATGTCGCAGTCGAGACAGAGCCGGCAACGTCGCGAATCTCATGCTGCGTGGCTCGTGGGAGCGACGACCTGTCAGGAATGCGCGCAACTGGCGCCTCCGTACCCACAGATTGGAATAGTCAGCAGCCATTAAGTCCACAATCTTGTGCGGATGCGCAGATGGGAGTTCATTATCTAGCTTGACCACCGTCGGTTGCTGAACTTCCTTCTGCGCTGTGAGCCGATGCGTGCCGCGAGCTCCACCTGCGCGTGCTTGCTGACGCCAATCTGTCCACCCCGGAGCAGACCCCCTGCCGGCCGCCTGCTGAATGGCGCGAACGTCGTCATCGCCCCCATCGAGAAATTCACGCGCCTGATCAGGATGAAGATCCCCCGAGACAATCCCCCGAGCCTGAGCTGCACTACTATCCAATCGCGCAGACAAGTTCTGCCCGGGGCAGGCCGTCGCCTGGGCGATCGCCACCTTATCGGCGAGCATCTCGCGGAGGGCCCGGGGCCCGGCTTCGCTTTCGCGCGAAACGAGGAAGCCAGGCGCGCCACCGATGATGCGCTGCCAGCCTTCAGCCTGTGCCTGAATGCCTTCAGCATCCTTGTCTTCGCGCGTGTCATCCGCCCACTTTGGCTGTAAACGACGAGCAACGTCGCCTCCGCTGCTGATGCTTGCTCCTGTGGCGCGCGCGATGCGACGCGTTGCCCCGTGCCGAGGTCAGGGGGCCCCGTGCCGAATCAGCCTCGGCCTCCTTTGCCACCTCGAGAGCAGCCGCTGCGCGCCTTCCCTCTGGCGACCAGACATCATCAGGAAGCAGGTCCGACGACGGCCTGCGTGGGCAGCTTCGGCGCAACAAGATGCGATCGCACCTGGGCCTCATTTCCAGCCGCGGCAAGCTTCGACGCGACAGATCGATGAGGTTTGGTGGCCCGCTTCGAATCAACCGTCACCTTCTGGAACAACCTGGGCCAAACTGATCGATGGCACTGCGCCAGGCGGCTGTTCGACACGTTGCCCACGCAGGTGCGACCGACGAAATCAGTCGCAAGCGGAACGGCAACATGATTGACAACGCCCGTATCCATGTTCCAGCCGCCTCCAACTATGCATGGCTCAACCTGCCCCGCAAGCGCTTGACCAATGCGAGACAAGATCCGGGCGTTCCGAACCGTCATGCCCCCAGCGCAGTGGAGATACTCATTGCTAATCGCGAAGATCGACCTCGGCGCGCGCAAAGACGGCTGCGCCAGCCCCGGGCAGATGATCCCGAGTAGGGTGCCCAGGCTCCACTGCACAACGCCAGCCTCTCCTCGCGGCCCAGCTTGAGAATTCTCCAGCACCGGCTGCCGCGTAACCGAACTCCAAGGCTAACGCCGCCAGCGCGCAAGTGCTTTCCGACCTCCGCTGCAATGCTTGCTTCCTTTAATTGGCATTCAAGGTCTCGAGTAGCCGTACTTGCTGTTGGTCACTGTCATGTGCATCAGCTCTTCAGGTAGTGCATCCAACAACAGGCATGCCACTAACTCGCGGCAGGCGGTCAGAGGCACCCCAGGCGCCAATGCTTGGCCTCGCGTAGCTGATCGACGAGGCCATGCAACAGCTAAAACTTGTCTCCTCCTTCTCGTTGAAGCGTCTCCCGCAACTCGCTGGATTTCTCTTTCGGCAGTTCGGGTGGCGGACGCTCGACGGATGACTCTCCGCCAGAAGCCCCCCCTTCCCTCAGGAGTTGCAGGTCGCCCGCCATCACCAGCGGGACCATCGCCTGCACCGTCGCCATTCGCATCGCCACCATCATAAATAAGGTCACAAATTCGTGCGCCCTGCTCCGTCTTGGGCTTGCCGAACTTCGCATTTATGGCCGAGCGCAGGAGCTTCTGAAGCTTCGCAAACATGTCATTGCTCTGCATCTGCTTAACTACGTCTGCCAGCCGAGGATCGGTAGCCACTCCATTGGCTCCAGCTGCTTGCGCCAGGAGCCCCTGGGAAGCACTGGTGGGGGGGGGGGGCGGCGTGATCAGCTCGCGCTTCGCCTCGCTGCTGGCAAGTCCGAGCTGCGCCGGCCGCGCCAGCGGCGGGCGCCTTCGGGCGCGCTGCAGCGCTGGCCGCGCCAGGCCTGCTTGTAATCCGTGTGCCAAAGCCAGTTGCAGCACCAATCCTCCAGCACTTTCCCGACGCCGCCCCCTGGGCCCTGGCGGAGCGTGGGCAGCCTAGTCGCCCCTCGGCGCATCGCCCTGGCAGGGCCGCTGGGCGGCGGCCCATCCTTGTTTCATGTGCAGGGCCCTGAGGACGGGCGTCACCGAAAGTGCAATTTCGCAGACTGCGGCCAGGGGGGACTACCAGGCGATGCGCGACGCAGTGGAAGCTACGGGCTGAAACAAGCGCCATCATGCCATGGCGCCAACATCGCAGAACGGATATCCTCTGGAAAGAACTAGTATGGGCCATGAGGGCCTCCTCCTCCAAGAGGCAGATCTCCTTCGCCTTGGCCTCAATGGCGGACTTCTTGCCGAGGATGTCGTTCCGGAGCTTCTGGAACCTCGCGTTGTACTCAGCAAGCTCCGTCTCGAAACGACCCTTCTGTGCGCGGCGCTTCTCTAGCTTGGCGAGGGCAACTATGCGCGCCGGCGCGGGCGGCCGAAACGCGCGATGCTGTGGCCGAAGATCCTCGAGCTGCTGTCGCAGTCCAGGGTGTCCAGGGTCCAACTCGTCGATCTGGCTGATCCCTTTGGTGGACTGTTCCAAAACTGTGATCCGCTTCTGGAGTTTCTCGCGCTTCTCGTCCTTGTCGTTGTCGCCCTTGCCTTTGTCACTCTTGTCCG